TCACCACCGAGGTTGCGCCCTTGATCCGCGCCAACCCCAAATGGGCCTCCAGCTTCACCCTCATCTTCCGCCAGCAGGTCCAGCCCTGGCACCCCTCATCCACGCTCGTCCACGAGGCCGCCCTGGCCGTCCTCAGGCTGGCGCCCGAGAAGTTCTGGGAGTTCAGCGCCAAGCTGTTCGAGGACCAGAAGGCCTACTTCGACGTCAACGTCGTCAATGAGACCAGGAACAACACCTACAAGCGCCTGGCGGACCTCGCCGGGAGCGTTGGCGTCGACGGGGACCAGGTCTACAAGCTGCTCGTGATCCCGGAGAAGCCAGGCGAGGACGGCTCGCTCAACTCGGGCAACGGGGTCACGGCCGACCTCAAGGTCGTGACCAAGATGAACCGCCTTATTGGCGTTCATGTCACTCCTACGGGTGTCTTTGATGGCGTGGTTCAGGATCTCAGCTCCGGATGGACTCCTGATCAGTGGAAGGAGTGGCTGACCAAGAATGTCGTTTGACTAGATCATTCGGGCCATGGTTATCGTAGCAAGTTGTGAATAGGTTCAATAGTAATGCAAGAACATACCCGGTCAAACAAAACCCCCAGAGACGATGAGATTTCCAACCTCGTTGTCTGAATAGTGACTATGGTCCGCCATGGTGATATGTATAATCGTAGTTGGTGAGCATCAGCCCTCGGAGCAAAGCTCGGGGAGCTTGAGGCGCTAAATAAAGCGATAGTGGGCACCTTACTCCCCAGAAGTCCCCTGAAGTGAGCCCCTGTTCAGCGGCTGTAGGTACATACTACCTACCTACATATGTAAGGTATGGATGTAATTAACACGCGTCTCCAACAAATCGCGTAGCTTCATTTTTGGGGACAGCTCGAAAATCTCATGAATCCGGCAATTATTCACTCGCCATCACACAACCAACAGTTCAAGATGATATTCAGAAGCCGAGTGCTGGCGTCATTACGCCCTAGGTGTACTCAATTGATGTCACCAACACGAAAACTCCAGCTTCCATCATCCTCCCTTTCATCATTGCGCTCAGCTGCCCAAAAATCTCTGCAACGTCGGTTCTACGCCCAACCAACATCAAAACCTTCCCGCGCTGAGCAAGAGATCAAGCGGCTCGCAAAGGCCGCGGCCAGTAACACCAAAGAACATGGTTGGTGACAAGACAAGGATCATACGATTCTGCGCAGTGGCACTGGCTGACCATATAAACATGTAGCTCTTCCAGCGAGAGTGCTTATCTTCCATGCCGGCACCACTCGCACAACCTTCATCGCCTTGTTAAAGGTCACCTCGCTCTTTATCGGGGCATTCTTCTGCGGGATCGTGGTGCCTACCTACATCAAGTCCGAGAAGCCCGTCTGGGACACGGCCCAGGTTTTGCTCTGCGGCATTGTGCCCCCTGTCTTCGTCGCCTTCACAACTGCATCCTTCGTGACGCATGTTCATGTCAATCTACCTTCCCAGGCCCGGGCTTCCAAGACTGTCCTTGAGCGGTTCATCCGCTCCGAGATGCCCCCCTCAACCAAGGTCACCCTCACGACGATGAGTTTCATCGCCAAGCCCAGGCAGAGCACCATGGCAGCTGGTGATCTCCTACCGGCCAAGCGACGCTTCGGCCTCATCAACTACATTCGACGCCCGGATTCGGCAGCACAGGAGAATTCCAAGCGCAAGTGGTATATGTGGCGTGCTGTCGATAAGTTCTATATCCAGGAGGGACGTCCCGGACAGCCACGGAAGGTCAGGTATCAAACACCAAAGCCAGATCTCGTTCAATGGTGGATCTGGGAAGCTATCCAGCAGAAAATTACAAAAGAGCTCCCAGCGTCTAAATAAGAAAGACTCTCCTCTCGTCCCCTCCCATATCAAGCCGTCACCACCCCGTACCATATCAGGCCCATCACTCCGCCCATGACGATCGTCATGGGCGGGCTAACACCGAACCACATCCCTCCTACATAACTCGTGGCCGTCACAACAACCCACCATGGCTCCACAGCCATGCTCGTCCCTGTCTTGTAGCCTTCATCAATATACCCGATCTGCCAAAGCCGGTACACAGCAGTGTAAATCAGACCAACGGCCGCTGCATTGACGCCTCGCACCATGGACTTGACCCAGCGCAACCCACGTACTGCACCCCATATCCCCATGGTCCCATGGACGAGCCAGATTCCTGGGAGAAAGATGCCCAGATAGCCAATCAAAGCACCGAGCGCAGCGTTGTACCCGGCGTTGGCGGCCGTCAGCCCTCCGAGGTATACCCCGAAGTTGAAGTTGGGGCCTGGGAAGGCCTGGATGAGAGCCAGCCCGATGAGGAAGTCTCTCGGACTGACCCAGCCCTCCGCGACCACATATTCGCGCAACAGAGGGATCACTACAGGGCCACCGCCAAAGATGATGGTGCCCGCGAGATACATGTTGGAGAACAACTGGTACAGCAAGGGCTTCTGCGGCAGGACTCCCCGAAGGACCATGACGACAACGAAGGAGATGAAGAATGCAACAACAACGCCAAGTCCGACTTTCCAAGACATGTTGAAGCGTCTCTCCGGAGGAACCACTCGTACTTCATCCTCGGCCGAAGAGCCGACCCGGTTGCCGGCGTCATGCTCCTCCGGTGGTGGTGTGAGCTGGCGTTGAACATCCCTCGACGCCCTCGCAGACTCCCCAGGGCTGGTTTCGCTCCTCTGCTCCTCGCGGCGTGTTATCTCAACTTCCTCAACATCCCCGGCACTTACGCCGCCCCTTCTCTGGAACAAGTTGATCACGGCCTTCACCGGGCCGTGTAGCCAGCGAAAGTCATGCACAATGGTCGTCAGGCCGGCCAAGAACATCAGCACCGGGAAGTACCACAGCGCGTTGTACAGAAGCCCCGCGGCGGCGGCGAGGAAGACGAGTATCCTGGTGACCTTGTCCGTGATGGATTTCTGGGAGAGCTCGACGGCCGCCAGGATGACGATGCCCACGGCCGCTGCATTCAGACCGGATAGGAGCGCGTAGACTTGCCTGGGCAGCGTCTCGGACATGTTCGAGACACCGATGGAGAGGCCGTACATGCCCAGCGCCCCGGGGAGACTTGGTACATTAGAGGTCAGCGTACTTGATCAAGGATGTTTCGAGGGTAATGGGGGGTTCATTTTCCTGTTTGTAGGAGATATGGATTTTAAACGAAACTGCCAACCTTACCTCCAGATAAAAAAAGCGAGCACGGCAGAGGTGAACCCGCCATGAATGAGATTAATGCAGTAGATCATCTTCGTGCTCGCAGGTCCGCTCAGAACCTGACAGACGCTGAACAACTCCTGATACTGTAATTCAAAGAGCCCGTGTCAGCCACTCGGTCGTTTTGAACGTAGGTAGGAACCCATGACGCCCTTACAATCTGCTCATCAACCCATCGCAGCTTGACCGCAAACTTGTCGTGGAACTGTGAAAATCGCATTCCCTCGTCAGTAAAAACACATCCTTGCTCACCACATACCCCGTCCCCTTCTTCTCGTCAAAAGGTGCAACCTACGATCTTGAAGTGCACAGGCGGGCCGCCAAACCCCGTAAAGCCCAGGTGCCAATTCGCCCGCGCCATATCCCACACAGCCGCTCCTACTCCCCGCTCGTGGGCTCGTCCCTCAATTCGTCCAGACATGGTCAATTGTTTGTCGCTTCGGGTTCCTTCGCGCCGTGCAGAAAGGGGAGCAGCGCAGCAGGACGACGGGCTCCTATCTTCTACTTGTACTACTAGCGTAGCAGCAGCCCATGTTCATTTTCGCCATGAGCCACCATGAGCCATTGGCTAACCCCCCACGTGCCCTCCGGCATTGGCTTCTGCCAAGAGGCATCGCTGCTACGACGCAGGCACGCATTTAAGCGGTGATTGCGTAATTTTAGATTGCGTGCTCGGCAAGCTTATGTGCAATAAGCTTCATCCCGATCCACACCCCTTGTTCCTGCATCTCTTTCCGCCGCTCAGTTCTATATTCGACACTTGCCCACGACGGCAATGTACCAGCGTATCGCAGAGTTCTCATCTGCGTTGCGAGGCAAAACTATACTACAAGAGACCGGGTGCCGATATTGTGTTGAAACGACGTGCAGAGAATATAGTAGCTTCTTTCCTCCTTGCCTACAGCATACATACATATTTCACACCGCGCAATGCTACAAAGGATCACAGCTTGCGTAAACAGCCCTGCACATTCCATTGTGGTATCATCGCTATCCGTACTGAAATCAATACAAAAAATGCAGAGCGCCTAGCCAAGGTTCCCGTTACCCTTTGACTCTCCTCATCGGGAGATATCCTAATCCTGCACTCCCAACTCCAAGAATGAAGCCATATCGCCAAACCCTGTCCATCCATCCTAGGGAATATTAAGCAACCCATTTTTGCCACACCAGAATAAATACAAAAATGTGTCAAAGCCAAGTAGCCGTTCGGTCAAATCTTCACCCCCCCGTAAATAGAAAAGTCCCCTCGTTCCCACGAGAAGGGCAAGTAAAAAGAAGAGAAATAAGCGCGATTAAAGCAAGAAGCAAAAATCCAAAGCACCATTGAGGCCTTGGGAAGAACGGCAAAACCTGAGATTGCTCGAGATACTATTGCCGCCCTGCCCACGCCTCGGGAAAAATGAAAACTCTCAAAATATCGTTCCTTGATGCATTCCTCGTATAGCGTCAAAATGCTTAGTCGTCTCACGTGTTATTCCCCTTTCTTTTTCGACACCAGTCCCATAAAAGTATACAGGCAGCGGTGCTGCAAAAAGAGCCAAAACATATGCAAGAAATAGTAGGTGAAAGGTTCACCTAGAAGACGGGTGAGTTGAAATCCAGGAAATTTGATAACCAAAAAAAACGCCGTTCCATACGGTGCGGTCCCGGGAAAGAGTGAACGTATCGAGCCTGGAATGTGTGTAAGAAGCTCATTGCCATCGACGCGAGCCCGGGTCTCGCGCGGTTTCAAGGGACGGCATGGGTAGCAGAGCGAGCTGGTCATTGGCGTCGTTTCATCATGGGGCCTGAGTCGTAGTCCCAAGCCCTCTTAAGACCGCCTTCATACACGCTGGCCACAGATTCCTGCCACATGGCCGGCGTGACAAAATTAGGAATTGTAGCTGCAGTGTATTGTTGCGGCGAGATTGACTGCTGACTGGAACTCATTGCTCCTGCATTTGGATCCTGGTAGTCCTGGATGCCAGAGACATGAGCAGCACCTGAAGTATCAAGATTTAGGGACCGGCTCTGTGGGGCTGAGGATGCATTAGGTTGAGCAGGCGTACCGAAGGATGTATTCCAGTGCCTAAGCAGAGACGTTAGTTGCGACGGTTGGGATCCAAAAGGTACGCTCGAGCACTCACTCGAAGATTCTGGCCGGGTTCCAAGCAGGTTGTTCTGCGAGCGGCATACTTTGTAGTCCCGGCGTTGGGCCACTTTGGGACATCATCATGAGGGGCTGCCCAGCTGGAGAGTCACCTTTGCTATCCGTGGTACCGATCGACACTGGGGGAGAGATGGGGTGTCCAATATAACTAACATTTTGAGCGTTCTGCGCATCAAGATGCTGGTCCATAGATCCAGTCCGACCGAATTCCGGTCTATAGCCATGCGGCCTGCTAGGGGAGGTCGAGCTGTTCGAGGGATGCGGGCTCCCATAAGGAAACGATGGTTTGAGAACAAAGGGCTTCCGTACGTCCGCCGAGAATGCTTCACGCACAGCCTCCACTTGTGACCGAAGCTCGGGCATGGCCCATACATCCATTACCTTCTCCATGATCCTCATGTGGCGGGTAAAATATTCTGACGCGTCTCTATTCAAGTCCGGATCGGGCGAAACAACGGCAACCTAGAAAGTGAGTTACAATATAAACACCAATGCGTGGGGCTCCACCAACATACCAAATGAAGCACTATGCAAGATAACCCAGCGTACACCGTGAAGCTGTAGCCCCGCTGCATGCTCTGCAGTGCTTCCAGGTTGCCGGCTGCCACAGTCGCTTCCTGTAACCGGCAGAGAGCCTTCGCGGAATCATAACAGATCACCATCTGGTGCTTCCACTGTGCAGGGTTGGCCGTCGGGTCAATGGAGAAGAGCTGTGGCCGATGATACAGAATCAATGTGAGGTAGAAGTAGGAAAGCAAATTTCCTGTGAAAGGGTCCTGGATCCACGGACGAGAGCCATCTAGGGGGAAACTAACGGCAAGATCGGGAGGGAGCTCGGCCAAGAAGGAGTCGAATCCGGCCTTCAACTGTTGGACTCTGGGGTCAATGCCCCATTCCTTCTTCTTCCTCACCTTCATGTACACGCTGCTCAGTCGCTTGACATTTCGAACAACGCGTGCAAGATAGGTAAAGTTGCGTGAGGTCATGTCTCCCTCTCCATCAACAGCGGAGTGATGGACCTCAAAGTCCACAGTATCTTCCGGGATCGAAAGATCAAAACGTCCTAATATTCTCAATTAATATCCCGCCATCCCTATTTCAAGTTTTACTTTGTAGAGCAGAGAATTTCGACAGACCTTGTGGCGCGCCAACCATGACTTCGCAAACAAACACCACCTGCCAGATTCGTGTGCGGAGTTGACAGTCAGCGGGGCTGAAATCGCACCCACGACCTGACGCGTGGTCATCGAGATGTTCGTCTAATTCGAGGTCTTTGCCCATCTGGGCGCACTGAACCACTGTCATCCATGAACGGTAATAGTAGCCTCGCTTTGGAACTGCCTCCCGTGCCTTAAGAAGCAGCAATAAACCTTGAAGGGTACTTAATCTTGGAACATCGAGGAAGGCATCCGCATGCCCTGGACTTGGTTAGCAAATTAACACGCTGGGTGCATAACAAGTAAGCTTACTAGAGGAGAGGGCCATCCATTGATGGCCATCGCTCGGGTCATCGCATAAACGACCACCGATAGCAAAAATGGCTTCCAAGATCAAAGGGGAAATAGAATCCCTGTTTGTGTGCCACTGGTGAAGGAAGCTGGCCTTGTTTAAAACTGGTACATACGGGTGGACCTTCCTGAAAAAGGCATCGATGTAACTCAGAGCAACGGCTTCATCGGGCATCAACTCGGGTGGGATTCTAAGCTTGGACCCAGGGCCAGCAGCCGGTGGAAGGTCAACTTGGTATTCATCATCATCCTCCACCGCTGGCTCTTCGCGCACAAACGAAGCCTTGTTTCGTAGATAGGGTGCTGTGCTGACGTTAGATCAATTGGAGGCGTAAGGACTCAGCAAAGGAGCTTACCTGTTCCTTTCTCGTCCACCTTTAAACTTCCCAGCAAGTCTGCCAAATCGCCCTGTTGTAGTGAATCTGGCGTATAGGCTTCGGGCGAGGGTTCATGCCCCGTAGATACTTGTAATTGTGGCGGCTGATATAAACTCTGCTGATATGTATGATCCATAACAGGAACATGCGAGACAGTGGTGTAATTTAAACCATGTGTCTGCGGTTGCTCAGGATCATATGTCACCGGTTGGTATGCAGAGGTACTGATATCAGGGTAAGTTTGAGCATAAACAGGCGGTCCAGGCTTCTGTGCTGGGTGAATGATAGGTTGCTGCATCTGCATTTGCTGCATCTGATCTGACTGGCCCATCGAGGTTTCGAAGCCAGAGTCGGCAAACGTGTCGTAGCCGTTCGGTCGCACACATTGCAGCTTGAGTCGAATGCAGGCTGAGCAGGGCCATGAGTTGGTGGTCGCGGCATCGCATTTGATCTTTCGTCTGCGACAGCCCTCACAGGCCCTCATCACTTCACGACCGTCGTCAGTGGGGTGCCATGCGCCGTGTTCGAGGTTGGGGACATACCTTTTAACCGCTTGTGGCGGTTATGTTCGTCGACAAACACATAGTCTAGCGGAAACAGAAATCAGACGATGAACAAGTCAAGGGACAGGCCCTATCGACGGGGAAAGGGGTTCGCAAACTCTTTTGGGCGGCGCTCTGAGGATACTGCTGGGGCGCGACAGAGAAGGTAGGCGTATGGACATTCTGTGCGCTCGGCGGGTTCTGGGGAAGGAGGAGGCGAGCATTCGGGTCCTGGGACATGATGGATGTGATGGCTCGAGACTATCGTCCCAAGCCTGTCGAGAATTCACCAGGCGGTAGCAGTCGACATCAAGTCGACAAAGAAGGCCCGCGGGCACGAGAGGCGGCAATTCAAATACGCAAGCTGGAGCGGTCGGCGTTAGGGTCACAGGTTGGTGTCTGAACCGACGGCAGAAGCGAGGCGAGACAATGCAAGCCGGTGCAGTCACTCTGTTCAGCTCGGGGGAGGACCAGCTTTGGGTATGTCGAGTTGACGTCGTCGGCCGCAGGACTGGTCGGGTCGGGATCGGACGGCGGTGGCGTGTAGAGCAGATAAACTACAGTTTCTATCTGCACTTTGTCCTGTTTCTGGTTCGCCCTCATCCACGTTCACGGGCGTGCAGGCATCAAATTGTGGATATGGCCGTCTGCCGCATGGACTCTGAGGAAGTCGATGGTCGATGGGTTGGCCGGCAAAGGAGGGAGGGGTGCATGCGCGTGCCGGAAGACTGCTGGGCGCAGGTGGTCCAGGCTTATAATGATGGATGGGCTGACCCTGTCGCTTGGGTCCAGTGCCATGCTTGGATTTTACAGTTTGATGGGCGCTATAGCCCCAGTCCAGCCCAGGTCCTGCAGAAACACCCCCCTGTCTCTGCCAATACGTAAGTACGTGGTATGTAATAATGATACTTCCACATCTGCGACGGCACTGGTGACGCACAATCACTCGCAGAATTTAGGGTGTACTAGCTAGCCCGGGCTCCCAGAACTAGCACCGACTCCTCCCACGGCATGTAGACATGACACTCGCGCCCAACTCCAGCTTGCGGTGGCCTCCCAGCCTGTCCAGATCGATCCAGGGCAATGATGGGCGACGCTAGTAAGCGAGCAGCGGTAGGTGCCTTCGCGCAGCATGGGGTAGCGGACAGTCTCATGCCGGGAAATGATGTCCTATGCTGCGAGGCTGCTCACCACATCATGGCCGGTCTGCGCGCCCAGGAGCAGGCGCGCCGTGGCCAAGGCTCGATTGTCATCACCTAAATCCCCCCCATCCCATTGACGTTAATGTTGGTATGGTAGGTCGCGGCAGATATTAAGATTGGCTCCCCATCCCCATCCCAGGACTCGGTCTCCTGCCTGTCGAGTGGGGTGTAGGTTCGTAGAGGGGTCCTTAGTGTTTCCTGTTGGCGCTGCCTTAGCGTCTGGGTAGTGGGTGGTGGGCTTGGTGGAGTTGGCAAACAGTGGTCCCAGTGGGGTCTAGAGCGGGCAGACGACGTACAGTGCATGGGATCGAAGGAACCTGAAAGCCCGATCCATTGGATTGGATGGAAGATAACCTTGCCCCGGGCGCCTAGGTATAAGCTCCAGCATGCTATAGTGCCGACTGGTTGCCATTGGATTTGAGACGCTCAAAGATTATACCGCTTATTTTCGAGACTGCGACCGGTATTCTCAGATTATTGAGGGCTAATAAGAAAACTCAAGTGATAATACTACACTAAGGATTGCTAGTGTATATCATTTGATACCGCCATATTATCCTCATCATCGGAGAAAGTGGTCTGGTCAAGACCGCTCTTCAGTCTGATGTCTCATTTCTTCTGTCACCCAGTTTAGGTACTAAGGTTCGGCATGCCACCTCCATAACACGTACCACGTAGGGGCTGCAAGGCAGTCGGCCCTGATGCAGACCTCCTCGCCATCCTTAACACCCAACAAATACGGAGTCCCTGGAATACCTGGGATGAAAAAGGATGAGCCAGAGCGATCCAGGGCTCTCTGCTCCTCGGCGCGCTCCGACAGCCGCCCAAGTCAGACCTGAGACCTCGAAGCTGCTTGTGTTACCAACAGCGGAGCTTTGTCCAAGTACTTCCAGTACTGGTTACACAATAGCATAAGAAGGGTTCCCAAATGTAAGCAAACACCGGCTCGCCATTACGTTGCATTGCATTGCTTCGCGGGCACAATGGGCGCCTGCCTCGCGCAACAGTGAAGACTGGCAACGGTCGTCGCAGCCATGGACATTGGCCGACGATGAACTCACGACGCACTCTTATCATGAAATGGCATCGATTAGGTAGGTGGTAGGCTGAGAGAAAATGCAGCATAGCATCGAGTAAAGGGACTCGATTTACGAGTCGAGTCCTACTTCAGGTAATGTTGGGCGCTGCTCCCCAAGACACCCCACCGTAGCGTAGCGGTGCTTCCCCTTCCGACGATTACGCCAGCCACCTACTGCGACGATGCGCACCAGGGCGGCAGGGCCGTACCTTGCGTCGTTGCGGCTTCCATCTTATTTCTACGGGTGAGAAAGCAGGGACATCCCGGAGATCATCTTCCATTACGACGTCCAAGGTAGAGTGTACTCAGGCACCATCGAGCAGGACCACGGATCGGCAGGTAGCAGATACAGCCACGGGCGCACCACGAGCGTCGCACTGGATGTCGGGCGGCTCCTGGTTATGCGATTATTTGCCTGAAATATCCACCGCATCACATCAGCTGCTGGGCCGTCGGGATCTCGAGTAAGAGTAAGGCTCCCTAGTCGCTCTCCGCATTTACGAGCGACTGCAGATGCTCATGTTTGCCGACGCTAGTCTTTAGCCAACATATGCAGCCAGCCGAGTCCCATGATAGGTATCGCAATAACTGTGAAACAATAGAGCAGGCTCCTTCAACCACCAGGTGAAACTCAGAGGACCGCAAGCCTATACAATCCCACCTTGTGATTGTGGCTCGGCCTGGTCCATCTGCAACTGTCCAACATTGCCTAGATGCTCACCGTTAGCCCTTATTCTGCCTCTTCTTGCCACCACGGCAATGGTACGCGTCGGGTACCCGCGATGACAACACTACGGAGAGACCTCGCTGTCACTATGTAGCGTCTCCCGCCTCGACCGTCAAAGCTTGACGAGGTAATCATCCCCCATCAAGTGGGCTTGGGAACTTTGGTCCTAGCTCCCACTCCTCAAAGCATTCCAGAACACCACGGCAGAGGCAAGCTTGCAAACACCCACTCAATGCGTTGACAATAAGGGAAATCACTGGTGAGTGCAGCAGATGTGTCATCATTGGAAATACACTCGGAAACCCCAGGTTCCCTGCGCGCATTTGGGCGTATCAGCAGTCTTCGTGAAGTGAATAATATTAATTCTATATAGCATCCCGTTCCCCACTCGCTAATTAACCCTGAGATGACGGCTTTGGGGTCTCTTGAACACAGTCTCTAATGTGTCTTGATGACATCCTAGCTCCGCCAAACCCGTCCCCCCCAGGCCCGGTTCCCCGAGACAGGGGCTTGCTGCTCACGCGTGGTGAGAGCAATCCGGTCTGCAAACCTGTTGTCGAATGCACCTCTTGGCCACCGGCTCATTCACTATTGACCTTTCATTATTGCTTTGGCTCAACAGGGCTGGCCGCCTTACCTGTCATTAGGATCATTAACATCTGGAGTAAACAGAGGGGAGCCTTGATCAAGAGATGAACAGGCTTTCATTCTGAACCCGCTCCGCTCTCGGAGCTAGCCAGGCATGCCCTGGGGGCTTCATGTTCTCATCCATTCATCAATAGAATAGACGGAGCAATTCTCTCTCACAGAAGCAAAAGCCGCGCAGCTCGCCACCATATGCTCGTTGGCTCTGGAAGTGCCGATGCAGACGGTTTAACATATGCCCGATCAGCCCTGGTTTTGCCCCCTTCCTCTCCCGCCCGAATAATGCAGCGGGTGTGAAAAGCACGCACAGGAGTTTGCGTGTTCCAGAACCCGGAGTTTCGGAAATGACATCAACATCCCATTATTAAAGATATTCATTTGGATAAAATGGGTCGCTCCCAGCAAGCAAAACAGGGAGACAAGGATGCAGGCGCCGCTCTCACATGCTCCTGTCAGCATGTACAGAGCACACCGTCCTTGTCATTTGTGGTTGGGCGTACTAGTGTATGCAGCAAGCCGAGGCATTTCAAGCCTCCAGGTGCCTGATGGGACCTGTAGTCCTGTACCGATGTAGAACCTGGATGTGACCACGCCAAGTGTGCTGGGCTACCCGCGTGCTGATGCAACAGTACCAATGAGAAAGGCGTGGCTAGACCCTGGCTAGCATGCATGCATACATACATGCATGCTTCCACTCGGTAGCTCTGCGGGCAGATTCCAATCGAGGACTGGCTATGGGAATGGGAGAGGAGCCTGGAAACACACACGACCATTGGGCGTCGAACCTGGCTGGCGAAAAAAGGACCTTTGGTCCCAGGAGACGCGAAGCTGTGGATCCCATCTCATGCAACGAGCCTCTTTGGGCAGTGCTCTTTACACAAAATGTTACGACAATTGAACCCAGCGGCTGTCGTACGGACAAGCCACAACTATACCGTGTAGCCTACCTCCCATGAACAGTTCCACACCCAAGCCGGCCAGAGAGGAACGAGGAAAGATGGAGGCCCACCACAGACAGCAGCATCCAGAGAAAAGGCAGGAAAGGGAGAGGAGGGTCGATCACACTCTCCGCGAAGACGGAATTTCCCATCGGCTCATATCACCACAACTGCAACCTGTGTGGGAGGTGACCCCCATGTCCATGGACCCGAACCCCCTTACTGCTACGGAACTTCTGAGGGCTGATAGTTCATTGGATCGGGAGGCCTTCGAGAACATTTCTAGGCCTTACCCACGAAGCACTGAGCTCTTGGACTCGAAAGATGCGCACAGATCCGTCAGGGATGGCACCGGAAAAACTCGTGGATGGTGCCCAGCTCGCCGCTATGGCTACCCCTCGTATTGAATCGGTTGTTGTCCTTGCTCAAGCTGAGGCCGGGATGCCAGCCACCTGCCTTGTTTAGACACGGGCACACACAATTGATGGATTTTCATCGCATGGCATCGCATTGCATCTCATCACTCACTCAGCCTTACGCTGCTTACGGGGTACGTATCTCCTGCGGGAAGAAGCTTTTCGGCCTTGGTTCAGCGTCGCCAAGTATTCCGCATGTTTCGCAGTAGATTCGCAATCCCCAACGTGCAGGCTCGCATCCCATCCCCATCAGGGCTCCAACACGTTGTTTCAAACCGCTAGGCCGGCACTTGAAGCTCTTGAGGGGCGCTGTTTCAGGCGGTGGTTCGGTTCCAAACAGACTTGACTCGTCGCGCTGTTACCGCGCCGGACCAACAGAGTACCTACCTCGAGAGCACGCTGCGGAGACTGCCGATGGCTTGTCTGGCTCAAGCTTTTGTGGGACAGGGCCCAGGGTAGCAGGGCCCACCCGAAGACCCTGCCACCGCCCCTGCTAGCAGTCCCTGGGATGCTGCGGCCACGGTGCGGTGCGGTGCGATGCGGTGTGTACGGCTCAGTGGTAAAGGTAAGGCAGGGCAGGGCAGCACTTACCCCTCCATGCCACACCAACCCAACCCAACTCCTGCTGGAGATGCACCCACCCTGGTCAAACCGCGCATCCACAACCCAGACATATCACCTACGGCTTGCAGCACCTCCAACACCAACCTATTCCATCTTGAAGCTTGCTCTGTGTCGCCCCCTGGCATTGTAACCCTTCTGGAAAACCTCCTCGTCCTCGTCCTCGTCCCAACCGTTCCAAACATGGCCGCCGCAGCGCTCGACAACGCTAACCCAACCATTTTGAGCGCATCCCAGCTCCCCACGCGACAGAAGAAGACGGCTCCCAGGCTGGGCCCCGACTCCAGATTCGGTGACCTCATTTTCTCCAAGCCGTCATACTTCTCTCAGCCCCTCTCCGTAGATGACCTGAAGGCTGTCTCGTGGCCGAAACTCAACTCGTACGAAGATGACTTCGCAAGTGACCCCATTGATGAACAGGAGATCTACGGTACGGCTTTCGCATCATCACATACTCACCCGCCCCGTTGTTGCAGTCGCTGACCGATCCTCATCATAGATCTAATCTCCACTATATCTGATCCCGAACACCCTGTCTCTCTTGGACAGCTGTCCGTTATCAATCTTCCAGACATCCACATCACGCCCTCCCCTTCCCTCGGTGCGCCTTCTCCAAATACCATCGTCCAGGTC